GCTCCACTCCACCCACACAATTTTAAGGAATTAGAAAAAAAAGGGGAACTACCAGAAAGTGCAAAATATGAAGAAGGCAGCTTTCAGCTCCTTCAGTATGGAGTCGAACATTCAATTTTGAGCTTTTAGTATTGAACTTGAATAGCCTGCACATTAAAAAAAAAAAAAGTTTTCTATAGAAACCCAATTTCTTAAAGTCCAGAAAGCATGCAGCTGGTTAATGTTAACAAAAGACCTTGACAGGAACATGTAAACTATATTGAATGTCATGCTTGGGGCCTATCTGCCAGCAATATTGTAGAGTTGTTTCATTAGAAATGAATACTGTACACTGAATATGGGATAACTTTCTGCAGCCTTCATCGTTTCACACAGTACATAGAATTTGCATCTAGGTAAAGAACATGTCCTGCTGTCACACCGCTGAAGATGTCCCTGTGCAATCTCTTTCGTTGAGTCCTTATGAAGCTACAAGTCACAAATCCAAGATTCTGCTCCCTGAGGACACGTTATGTGAGACACAGCACTGTTTTAGTTTTCTGCCTATCCTGAATGCTCTGTGAAACTTAACCTTAAATACCATCACGTAACAATCACAAAAACTTTTGCTAAAGGCCGTATATACTAATAAAAAGACAGTGGTGCTTCGACATTCTGAAATGCTCTGAAAACCAACTTTTCCAATACTAAATACAACAAAATAACCTTCATAAAATATAACTTTTCTCCATTTACACTTTTTTAAAGGATTAGTATCCTATGCTTTTCAAGCACAGGAATCTGTGAAATAACTCCTAACATGGACAGATTTTTTTTTTTAATACATAACTTAAGAGACTGGAGAGTTTTAACTCAAGTCCAGTCTCTAAACAAGGAATATTCTTGTTTACTTTAAAAATGGAAACAACATATAGTTCCATTATAATTGTTAAAAAGTTAGCTTTACAAACATGGGAATTTTAATTTAAAAAAAATTCTTAACAAAACTATACAGTGTACAAATTACTGTCTACAAGGTAGGCGGTTCATTAAGAAGACCTTTCGCTCTTCTCGCTACTTGCAGCTTCACAGATTCATTCACATATTTTTTAATGGAGCTGCCCACCCGAACATTACCCGATAACTATATTGCTATAATTAAGATTTTTGCCATGTCTTTATGTACAGTCTCCTTCACTGCCTTTTATTTTTTTCCTTAGACAAGCCTCAAATGCTCACGTCACTCCAGGGGAAACACGCTTCAGAGGCACTGTGAGTGGTGGGTGGCAGAGCAGCACACAAAGGCTGAACAGTGCCACGGAACTGATGGTTGGAGACACCACCCCCTACTCATGCCCTTGGGTGACCTTCACCATCCTGAAGCTCTGCAGTTCTGGGTAAGGGAGGGGCGTGCAAGACCTGCAAAAGCGGGGCCCTTCGTCAGAATATACTTCCTGGTACACGAGGAGGAGGCCAAAAAGTTGATTTGAGATTTTATATATATAGTAGTACTTTTAATAGTTTTATCTCATAAAAGGAAAGAAGGAAAAATTGATTTGAAATAAAAAAGCAACACTTGAACTAGGCCTTTGTATTCAAGAGGCAGGCAGGAATACCCACAGTGTGTAACTTGGTTAGCTAGAACTGCTCATTCACTGGCAAAAAAGAGAGCGAGTCTGCCTTTAAAAAATACTGTGTGTCCTGTGAGGTTCATTTGTTCACCTAATAGGTCAAAGATACATGAAGAGCTTGGCTGAGATGATCTGTTTGCTACCAGGGCAAGTATCACGGAAATGATTGGACTTACTTTTGAACTTGCACTGCTAGGATCCCGCTGTGCTGTTCAGCATTTGGGCTATCAAACTGAATGGGCTAATCAAATACAATTCTCCAGCCCATAAGCATTGTTCTAAAGTATTCATTATTAAATGATATGCTGTGAGAACAATTGACAGTTTATTTTATTAGGCCATGGCCTAGGGGAAGGGGGCCAGGGGACTCCTTAAGACAGCCTACCATGTGTCGCTAATTCTGAAAGATTTTCCTTCTAGTAATGAATACACTCAATGGGACTGGGGGGTGAGGGAAGGGCAAAATAAAACCAGCCTCCATTCAGCCTCTAGCCCTCAGGGGAAACGAAATCAAATATATAGTTAAGGTACCATTCCTTAAAAAAATCCCATCAGCATCTAATGGGTTTAATTCATCCACAGGAAGATTAATTGCTTAAAATTCTGTATTTCCCTTCTGCTCTGGTTCTCAGTTTTAAAAGGGCAGGTAAAATGAAAACAGGATTTACTTTTTTCTTCCTTAAAAATTGAACCTTGATTTTAATCTATCAGTCCAAATACATTCAACAATAGCAACCCTCTGTTCAATCTTCTGGATATTAAAAAAAATCCAAGTGCACTGCCATCCATTTGAAGTAGTAAGTCACAGGTAAATCATATCCTATCATTAATGAAATGAAATGGGGACGAAAAGTGGTGGAGAAGGAATACAGGAGACTCCCTCCAACAGGTCTAATGTGTTTTCTAGGAGAAAGAATATTCATGTGTTAAACCCTCAAAAGTGTTAAACATCCAACATACCCTATGTGGACATTTCAACAAATATTTTTGCCAAATATGAGACAGGCTCACTCTCCACTGTGGATCTGGAACTTTCAAAAAAAACTATCACCAAGCCAAGTCTGCCTTTTTAAGCCAAGTCTGCCTCCAGGAGAATTTGTTGTGTTTGCTTGTTCTTACTATAGTGTTGTTATGAAAACCAGTAATGAGTTCAGCTTGCACCCCAGGTGGGAAGTTAGAGAGGGGAACCTGTGTAAGTTGAAGTTTGTCACAGTAGGCAGAACAGTCGCTTTGCAGCCCAGGCCCATCTCAGGGTGCACTGCTTCACAGCTACACTGTAAAGTGTTAAAAATCCTCCCACCCACCCCAGAATATATATATATATGTATATTAAAAAAAATCCCCTGTCCATCTCTCAGTACACAAAAGGACCTCATCACACTGCAAAAATAGCAGTACCCACTTTGGTCAATTAAAACAAACAAACAAACAAAAAAGCATACATTATTTTTTTTTTTAAATCTGTGTACTTACCTATAATAACCAATACAGCTAAAAGCACTACCTACATAGGCAAAACTTGGTATTGCATAATTCATATAAATTTGAAACCCCTCCCCCCCAAATATTAATTGGAAGATGAAAAACATGAAAGGTTAATAGAAAAAAACACCAAAATACTGAAAATATTGCTGGTCGATTACAATTTTTAAGCGGCAACTATACACAGCCATGATATGCTTTATAAATGTGAGATAAAGGTATAACTGTCTAAAAAATCCATGATGTCACACATTTTTCTTCGTCTGGAGTACAAAATATTTTGTCATAAAAATGGTAAAGATTTAAAATGATAATAAATGCAGCAAAACAAGTGTAGTGATGTCACTTTGTTGTTTTTTTTTTTGTTTTTTTTTTTTTGTTTTTTGTTTTTTAGATTTCAAGGCAAGGCACGTAATGTGGACATTATATCTTCGTGCAAATTAGGATTACTGGAAAGAGTATTTTTAATTAAAATTTTAAGAGACATAGAGGCAAAATGTGTCTGCCCATGCACACTATGGATCTGTCAATACAAGAAATTTGTTGAACAAGGCTAATGTCTGAAAGCACCATGCAAGTTTTCAGCACCCTGATTACATTTGTTTTCTCAAGAGTGCGTTTTTATATCCTACACCCTGGCGTTCCCAGTTTGTAAACTGTAAGCTTTACCCTCGTGACATGGATTTGCCTGCCTCTTTGTCTCTATAATGCAGATTTTATAGAACCTTTTGTACACCCTATGGGTTCTTGATGCAACCAGTAATTTTAAATAAATAAATTCTACCTCCAAGGAGGCTGCAGCTAAACCAACATAAGTGCTGTGTTTTCATTAATTTTATTTTTCTCAAGCACATGATTTGTCTTGATTTAATGCCTTTTTAATGCCCTCAAAAACTGAGGGGAAAATAAATTCGTTCAAAATTATTTTAAATTCTTTTTAATCCCCTCAATTTAGAGTCCAAGGGCTGAAGGACTTATAATCATGATTCCCCTTTAGATATAAATTTATAAATTGCACTTGCCTCTGTTAAGTGTTTCTTTTGTGGGGAAAATATTATATTAATTTTTACTGTTGCATGCAGAGATAACACTTCACCTACATAGAGGCATTTCTTCCATAGAGCCTTTGTGTTCAAACTGTTTTTTTCCTTTTTTCTTTTTTTCCTTTTTTTTTTCATTTTTTGTTTTTTTAAGATTTCAAACTGGGTTACACACTGGAAAAGGCTGGGTTAAGGGCCAAAATTTAATAAATCTGTACTGATAACTAAAGGCTACAGAGATTTTATATATTTTTTTTAACTTTTAGAAATCAGAGTGCTTATAAAATGGCTGGCTCATGGCTCTGTCACCCAGCACCTCTGACGCCGCCTCCTAGCCTTCGTTGGTGAGATAACCAGGAATAGTGATTCCATGCGTAAACAACAAGAATACTAAACCAATAAAACTAGCTTATCATGCAAATATTAAGGCATCTAGAAAGTCAGTTAAAATATATTGTCATAGAGACAGAACATCTATTTCCCAGCGGACTTCATGTAACAAAGGCTACGTTGCAGGGGCTGCGATCTACCATCAGTGAAATATCATCGACCCTTTTTATGTCATTACAGTTTCAACCTTAAGGGAATTAGTGATTGTAAGTGCTGCAATTGCTGGTCTATTATCTTCTTTCTTCAGTTTCTTTCCTTTCACCCTTTGTTTTGTCCAGTCTTCCTCTTTTCCTTTTTTTAAAAAAAAAAAAAAAAATTTCTTAAACTATTGTTGTGTTTCTTTTTCCCTCAGTTGCTTGTTTCTGCTTGAAGGAAAGGTTCTCCAATTATGTTCAAACCGTAATTTTGGACATTTGCCGGTAAGATGGGTGTCCTATTTGACACTTGGAAAGGAACCAAGCTAGCCCAGGTACCAGGACTGTTGAGAGGAGAGGGGCAGCAGGGAGGGAAGAAAAAAAGAAAAAAAAACACAATGTTAAAATCTACAACAATATGAGAAATATAAGTTCCAGATGCATCAAATTATTACTGTCACTATTTTCAAAATTACAGTCTAATATGAGATAAATGTGCCAAATTATACATGTTATACCCATCTATACTCTATAGTCTATTTTTTAAATGAAAATTAAGACTAAAGTGAGGCAGAAAAATCCAGAGTAAGATATATAAACAATTATTTAATTCTAATTGATTGAGGATATTCTAAAATATTATATATTTATCAATATAAATGCAATATGATTCATTTTTGTACAGAAAAAAAAGAAAAAGAAAAGCAGCAATCTGTTGATACCGATACATGTTGCCAGTTATATTCTGATCTTGTTTTACTTTTAATTCACAAGCAATTCAGTGGTCAGATGGGTTTCAATTTCTTACCTGCCTATTGGGTTGAATAAAATTGAAACGTACAGTGAAAGATATTTCTTCTCTCCTTACAACAGGAAAAAAAACTACATGTTTAAGGTAGGCCCATGCATAATATGCAATTTGAAATGCCCAATTATCAAACATATTTTAATCAGAGTTTTTTAGTCAAGACCGAACAAATAAGAATCCTAGAACCAAAATGGAACACAGCTTTTCTTGTTCTCTACAGAATATCCATTGTGAGGAAAAACATTTACAGGAGGCCACAAGGGTCTCTGCTTGTGCTGATTAGTTCTATAGCTCTCCAGTGGTTTTCTTATCCTAACCCTCTTTAACTTACTTTCAGAGAGAACCAGAGTTTTTCCTTCCAATGCATGTTTCCCTACATTGGCTTGCAGCAGAAGCCTGAGCACTCCCTGCTCCTCCCCATCAGTAATGATACCACATTTGAGCTGCTCTGCACATGGGGAGTTTGGAGGGATAGGTGGCGGGTTGAGGGGTGGGGGTGTTGGAGGCAGTAAATGATAACATTCCTGCCTTCCTCTCATCAGTTCAACTTTCGCCTATGCTGAATTACAGGCTGTTAAAAAAAAAAAAAAAAAAAAAAAAAAAAGGCTGGAAAACAATTCTCTAATTGCTACTGGCATAATCTCCCTTTAAGAAGTATCATATGGAGAATAAAAAAACATCAGATCTACATATCATGAAACAACTCTACAGCACACATTTTGGGTACACTTAATCTAATGTATTGCTTGTTCCAACACTCAACTCCAAATGAACGTCAGTTAAGTAACAGCTGCATAAATAATCATGAATCAAGAAAATATCAAACTGACAATTCTTTACTCATATTAGTCATGGCCTAGCATGGAAACATACTTTCAATGTTTTACATTTCATTGAGTATCCCTTGCTTTACTTTTGAAACCATGAAGTGAGATGGGCACTATTGTTGTAGCTATCAATCTAGATATGCTCATTTGTTCATACTTTAATTCCAAAAATACAAAAACCTTTATGGAATATCAACCTAAAGGAACAATTCTGAATTTTTTAAAAAACTTGATACATACTGTTTTTACTCTGGTGATAACCTCTATACAAAATGTTGCTTGTTGCTACACATATGTACATATTTCTGAGTTAACATTTCAAAAAAACATCACAATGACCACTTGTGCTCAAGGGATTTTATAATTAGACTACAAACACCAAGAAAGCAAAGTCCATCTCTAGTAAAGTATCTAGCACATGGAAGATGCTCAATACATTTTTTAGACAAACAAATCAATTAATTGTTTCAAATCACACCCAGCTATATATTTTTAAGAGGTGTCACCCAAGATTACATATAGTCATGAATATGTTGTGATTTGGTCCCCAATAAAAAGAAAATAGGTATCTCTGAATTTAAAATTAGATCTACTTAGCATTAACAAAAATTGATTAAGCAGGAATAATCACATTCAAACTAAAAAGATATGTCCTCATAATCTGATGAAAAATCATAACTCTTAAGAATACTTGTTATTGAAACTTTTACTAAGCAGCTTAACTGTTTTCACATATTTCTCTTCCCACACATATCATCAACAATTATTTTTGTGCTTTGCACCATTGATTGGGAACAATGTTACATAATGAATCATGAAACTTATTTTACCCTCAACTGTGTTTCCACTGCACTTTGTACATGGTCCTGTTACAGCAGTTATTACTTCATAAATATCTCTATCTGGGATTATCTTACTAACTGAAAGGTGAACTTCACCGAGAAAATGACCTAGTCACATCTATCTTTATAGAATCTGAGCATAGCTGGTGCTATTTCTTAACAAATAAAATAAATTACAAAAACGGGTATACATTATTTTTAACATGAAGTAAAAAGCATGTACCAAAAACAAAAGGACTAAGCAAAACAGATAATCCTTGATGGTAAAATACAATGTCAACAAGCAGCAAATTGCTTTGCAAAATTAACAAGAGTGCCAAATTAAGTGAGCTCAAGAAAGTAATTTGGAGATTGTATGCTTTAGGGATATAAAGTATATTTTAATGATTGAAAATAGATATGGCTCCTTACATGGACAAGTCTACCAACTAATGGCAGAAAATTCAGGGTTTATTTTGCAATAACTCTCTTACTCAGTTCTTTAGAAGAGACATATGTCATTTTTTGGAAAATGTTCAATAAAAATAAATTGATGCTAGTCACTAACAGGACTCTTGCTGCAGAATGCCTACCAAATTTAATTTAAATGTTTATTTAAATCTTTCAAACAGCCCATCCTACATTATGACCATATCAAAATTGCAGAGTGCAATATATTTGTCAATACTGTTTATGAACCTTTGGGGGGAAATAAATCTCAAACATTAACACTATGCAGACCCCATATATGAGTTTTACAAGTCTCTTATTGCCAATTTGTAGGTTAAGTTCAGAACTATAAGGCACAGACATTTTTTAGAGCTATTTTTGGTAGTCCTGTTAAAAAAAAAAACTTGATAAAACTAATTCAATGACTGAGATAACAATGTAAATAAATATATTTAATCAAAGTAATATAGATTACTTAATTTCAAAAGTACAATGTCTAAAATTGCATACTTATTCAGGTAAAAATGTAATAGTGCTTTTTATACATCTAACTCTCTATATAAAAATCAATAATCACATGTATAGATAAAATAAACACACAAAAACAAATTAGTTACACATAAAATGCTTAATAGTTTTAATTCACACTGAGAATTACTATATGGATAATCTTATGTTCATTCCAACTATCTGCATTCCAATAAGAGACATGAGAATATAACTGAAAGGATTTCCAAATATTCAAGCTCAAATTCAGCTACGTCAGCAATGTATCTTTGTAAGTGTGCATTTGCTTTGTTTTTTATCAAATTTCTCATTGCTGAATCACATTTGTTTGGGCAAACAGAAGATGAGCATAGCTGAAAGCTGAAAGCACATCTTTAGAAAATATAAACTAGATATAACCATTTTAAAAAGATATAATTACTTTGCAAAAAAATCAAGCAGAATTTGACACAAAAGAATGTGATAGTACCTTAACACAAAGTACAACTCATCCTAATGACTATTACTATGTATATAATGAGATAGTTCATTATAAAATAAATACACAAGAGGTAAATCAAAATTCCAAAAATAAAATATTTGATATCATGGATACTATTTTCTTGCTATTTTGACCAAATGTATGACATGGCTCCCCCCAAAAGGGAAGAAGCAAATGAATTATTTTGACATTAAGATGCATTACTGGTGATGGTCTAAGTTCATTTTTGTACTGGTAAGACTACCTCTGAAGTACTGTATTTCTTCTAGGTAGCACTCTGCAAGAAAACCTAACTTTATGGCATTTATTTGTTGAAGCAACTAACCAAATTATGTCATTGAAGAACAGCTAAAGGTAGTCAGGGAAGATACAGCAGTTGAGGTGGAAAGGAATATAGACTTCTTAAGCATGATTCAGGTTGAAGGAATAGCACAAAGGCAAAACTTCCAGACGACAGCCATGCTGAGGACTTACTATAATCACGGTACCATCTTTGGTGTTTTACATATGCTACGCCACTTGATTTTCTCAATGAGTTCATGAGATGGCCATCATTATCTCTGTTTCATATATGAGGAAACTGAGGCAAGTTTGCCCAAAGTCTCCCACTTAGCTCTCAGTTATGACTCAGATCTGTCTGATTTCCCTGGCCATTTCACTATATTATATTGCCTCCACAGGAAGTCAGATGACTTAACATAAGAAAGAACTTTCGAACAGAGTGGTCTGAAGGCAAAATTAATTGGCTTCAGGAGACAGTGAACTTTTCATGCCCCACACAAGCTGGATTATAACCTAGCTAATGCTGCAGAAGAAACTAGTGCACAGAATATGTAGCTGGTCTAAGTGGCCGAGTGATCTGAAATTCTATGTATTCATCTCCTCTGAAACAAATTTAGTTGAAGTTCTACTAAGGTGAGTTCTACAGCATGAGGATTAAGGGGGAAGAAGATACCCACTTCTTCCTTTTAAAAAGATGCACTATTTCTATATGTCTTATCCTGGATACACTGGGTAAAATAGTTCATCTTTGCATCTACCTACAAAGAGTAAAGAGACGCTATACCTTTCAGTGAAAGAAAGGGAGAAATAGCTCTGGGCAGCCATACCAACATTTTATGGTTCTGTTTTTTTAAATTGTGCATTATGTGAGTGTGTCTTCTAGGCCAAAAGATTTGGGCCCTTACCTTTTAGCTCACTAACACCTATGAACCCCAGGGTGCCATATAAACATGTATGAAGCCTTTATATTGAGCCAAAAACTAAACAAAGTCAAAGACTTTACATCACCTATTAGTTGGAGGTGATTAAAACAATGAGAGCTATTTTCAGAATGGCAAAAATCATTTATTACTAGTCTGTGTGTATTTGATAATGGATGAGATAACATACTTGTTAAACAGTTTATAAAATGTCTAAGTATCCAGTATGCGAATATTTTCCAGGGCAA